GGCAGACGGAGGCTGGAGAAAGACAAAGAACGCAAGGCAGGGGTAGAGGCAGAGGAAGCCCAGCGAAGGCGGGGGTGGAGGAAGAGACAGAAGCAGAGACAGGAGAGTGAAAGGGTCAGAGAGAAGCAGAGAGAAAAGGAAGAGAGGAGAGAGGAAGGAGCAGAGAGAGGAAGAGGGAGCTGGAGAGATGGGGAAGGAAGGATTGGAAGGCAGGGGAGGACGAAGATGCAGAGAGAATGAGGTGGAAGCAAAGAGAAAGAGAATTCCCTCCAAGAGCACACTGTGAGAAGGGGGCTTGCCACGCTATCTCATTCAAGCCTCAACACAAGCAGGTGCTGCTGCGGCTCCCATTATGTAGACCGAGAGACAAGGGGTTAAGAGATAATGAGGGAGGGAGAGGAAATAGAGGCAGGAGAAAGAAAACATGAGGCAGGAATACAGACGAGACAGACAGAGCCTATTCAAGGATCAAGAGACAACAGGCCGGGCGTGGTGGCTCACACCTGTAATCCCAGCACTTTGGGAGGCCGAGGCGGGTGGAGTTTGAGAGGTCAGGAGTTCAAGACCAGCCTGGCCAACATAGTGAAACCTTGTCTCAACTAAAAATACAAAAATTAGCTAGATGTGGTGGCGGGCGCTTGTAATCCCAGCTTCTTGGGAGGCTAAGGCAGGAGAACTACTTGAACCCAGGAGGCAGAGCTTGCAGTGAACCGAGGTCACACCATTGCACTCCAGCCTGGGCAACAAAGCACAAACTCCATCTCAAAAAAAAAAAAAAAAAAAAAAGACAAACACCGAACAGCCCAGCTGCCCATTACAGCACAAGCTTGAGAAGAACACTGTTTTGTCTCTGACAAAGAGCCGGCATCCAGCTAATAACTATGGAATGAACAAACAGGCATTATCTAGACTATGCCATCAGGGAAAGCCTTGGAAACTGCATGAAACCAGGGGTGACCAGGAAAGGCTCCATGCAGACGGTCTACCTGAGCCAAACCCGGAGGCACGCAGAGGGCGGAGCAGCGACTTTGACCATGCAGCAAACCAAAAACCCGGCGAGGGCGTGGCCACAGAAGGTGGCAGAGGGGCGTGGAGGCAAAGTCAGCAGCTCAGGTTGCCACATGAGGACCGGTCCTGCTGATCTTTGAGAATTTGCAGTGTTGGGCTTTTGAAAGGACTGAAGCTCAGGAGGTGATCTTCGAGGTGGGGGTTTTTCCGTTCTCTAAGTGAGAGACAAGTACCTGAACTCACAATGCAGGAGCAGGACAGAGGGCGAGGGACAAGGTCTAGGACTCATCCACTCACTCATTCGACCTATTAAAGACGTAGGAGTGACAGTTCCTGGACACTGCCTGCAGGGCTCCCGTGTCCCCTGGAACCTGGGAGGTCGAGGTTTTCCAGGTGGGGCTCTAAGGAGGTGTCTCCATGGACATTTCCAGCCTGAGGGATTGAGGATGACCCTGTTGCTCTCCAGGACCCAGAACGTGAAAGGAGGTGCAGGTTTTGTTGGAAAGCTGAGTTCACGTTTGAACTTGCTGCAGAACCTGTGGGATTCCTGAGGGGTGACAGCCAGGGCTATTTGGATAAACTCTATGAGAGCTCCAGGGAGGACTGGGCTGCAAACACTTTACAGTAGGCGAGTCACGGAGATCATACAGCTTATAGCCTAGAAGCTAGAAAAGAGGGCCAAGCAAACAAATGAAGGGCACAATATTTAAGAAGACAATGTTGCCGGCACAGTGGCTCATGCCCATAACCCCAGCACTTTGGGAGGGCGAGGCAGGGGGACTGCTGGACCAGCCTGGACAACATGGCAAAATCTCTCTCTACAAAGAACACAAAAATCGGCAAGGCATGGGGGTCCCGGAGGACTTCCAGGGCCCTACCCCAGCACATCTGAACCTCTGGGAGGAGGGAGGAGCTCCTGGGAGGCCGGGCCCACCCCGGCAGGACTCTGGCTGGCGTTGGTCACCAAGGCCTCCAGACACTCTGTGCTGTTTGGGCTGCAGTCAGGCTGCCCAGGGCTGCGGGCACCAAGTCGGGCCCCTCAGCAGGTGCCCGACTCAGTTCAGCCTCAGGGGCCTCCTCCAGGTCGGAGCACAGGTCGTCCCCGGGACCTGGGGGGCTGGGTACTGGGGATCCTGGAGCCCCTCCCGCAGGCCAGCCACTTTACCCGGGGGCTCCAGGTGGCCCCGCCAGGGCAGATCGGTTGTTTTGGCAGTGTTGTTTGTGAGCCCATGTGACATCTAAGTGTAGTCATTGACTGGACAGGAGGATAGAGAGGAGCCAGCCGTCTGGAGAGGGGCTTTGAATCAAGGCTACGGGACTGGCAGAATGGGCCAGATGGAGTCACTGGGTGCGGGGGCGGCAGGAAAGGCTGAGGACAGAGCCTTGGGAAGGAAATGTCCAGTGGGAGGTCGGTAGGGAGGAGCATGAGTACAGGGGACTGGGGATGGCGGTGAGGTAGAAGGAAGGCCGGTGCGGTGCCCTTGACGTTGGAGGAGGAGCCTCCAGATGGACAGTCATAACTCATGAGGTGAAACTGACATGCAGACAGGACCACTGGGTTGGGAGCATGCCCGTCACTGGAGATTTTGACTGTACAGTTTCGGTGGAGGGGTGGCCAATAGCTTGCTTGGAAAGGAATGAAGAGGAATGAGGTGTATGGAAGTGGAGGCAATTACTGTAAATGATGCTTTCAAGGAAATTGTTTAGAGCAGGGAGAGGAGGCGGAGACTAACAGTATGTCAGATCCAGGGAGGTTTTTCCGAGTGAGTGAAGGTATCAATGCTACAGCCTATTTGTAGGTTAATGAGAATGATCCAGAAGGGAGGAGAAGTTAATGGTGCAGTGGACAGCAGAGTCCCTGAGCAGGTGAGCAGGGATGGTGGTACGTGCTTGTGTGGGAAGCGGGCGCCACGCTGCTTCACGATGGAAGGCAGAATGGTGGGGCCAAGGCACAGGCAGGTATCACAGACAGATCATGTCCTTCATGACTACATCCTAAGTCCCAGAACCTGAGAGTATGCCACTTTACATGGCAAAAGGGACTTTGCAAATGTGATTAAGAATTAAGCTAAAGACATTCATACAGGGGGCTTATTCTGGATTCTCCAGGGGGCTGATGTCGTCACAAGGATCTTTAAAGGTAGGAGGGAGGAGATGTGACCACGGAAGAAGGGTGAGAGAGGTGCAATGCTGCTGAGGAACTCTGAGGATGGAGGAAGGGGCCATCCTACAAGGAATGTGGGTGGTCCCTGAAAGGAGGAGTCAGAAGAAGGAACGTGGCTCTGCCTGCCGACGCCTTGATCTTAGCCCAGTGAATCCTGACGGACTTCTAACCCGTGTTAGAAGTTATCAAGATGATACGTGTGTGTGTGGTCCTTGCTTTTGGCAGCCAAAGAAAACTAATACAGTGGGCCAGGGGTCCAGGTGGGAAGGAGACAACCCTCAGGGTAGGGTGAAGCAAGGCCATAGAATGGCCTGTGGGAGCCTAGCGGGCTGGGAGAGAGGAGCTGGTGGGAAATAACTAGCTGACTGGGAAGCTGGTGACCCCGGGCTGCACCACAGGCAAAAGCAGCTCTCAGCCCCAGGAGGCCAACAGTGGTCCTGGTGCAGGACAACGTTTACATTTCCACAAGAAGCTGCACTTGCCAATTACAGTGAAACTGACCCCAGGGCTGGAGAGGCACGGGGCCAGACTGGGTTAGTAGCTTCTGACCCTGGTCCTAGCGACGTTTTACCCCAGGCCAGCCTCTTACCCCTGTCTCCTGCGCTTTGCCTTGACCCCCTTCTAGGGCCTCTGGGAAGGTGTGATGAGTGGATTTGAGAGGAGAATGTTGTTCCTTCAAAGCAGTCCATGGCTGATGCTCCGGAATGGCAGAGAGCTCATTGGCATGGCCTCTGGGTGCTATTGGGGGCTTTCAGGATGGCCTGTTACCCATCTGTGTCCCTGTGGGCACTTCCTACATCAGTCTGTCCGAGCAAATTAAAATAACTCCAGGAAGGATGTCTCCATTATTCAAGCCTTCTCTTGTAGCGATGGCTCCTCCACTGCCCCAAAAGCTCAGCTCCAGATGATAAAGTTAAGCTGCATCTGGTTATAGCCCAGTAGCTTCTATGATTGAGGGAACCCCAAACTTTGAAACACACTTGGTGGCCAGGACCTGCTTGGGGGCTTCTGTAAAGGTGTTCTGGAGGCAAACACACATGTCCAGAGAGGAGACCCAGTGTCACCCTTAAGTTGTCACACCCCGGCCCCAGCCTGGGAACTGCCAACCCACAGTGAGAAGCTGCTGCTCTGGGTCCCTGGAGCAGGAGGAGGGGGCTGGGCTAACTGTGGCAGTGGCTGCAGCCAGTGGACCAGGTGCTATCTGCAGGCCTTGCCAGCCCGAGGGGGCAGGCTCCCACACCCCCGCTGCCCACCGTCACCCTCTATCCCTGCAGGTTCTGACCTCCTGGACCCAGTTTGACCCAAGACTCAGGCCCTCTGGGGCCTTGGCATTTTCATTTCAAGCCACAAACTGGGTGGGTCTCCTTGACCCTGAGGTCAGTGGCACCAGGGGGAAGGTCATTCTTCATATGAGATAAGCAACAACCTCACACAAGTAAACTGACGTCGACATCGTGCGCGTGGGTCCTAAAACACGGTCTTTAAAAGGTACTTTGAAGCCAAATGGTAGCAATTAGCTGTTCATTTTATCATTCCTGAAAACAGCAGAGCCAGGTCATCTCTGTATCATTGAGTTACCCTGGAGACAAGTCTCATGCAAAGGAAATCCTTCTCCAGGACACACACAGGGCCCAAGAGCAGGCTGGGCCTGATCATCGGGAGGCAGCAGCACTGCCCGCTGGCAGAGACAGCCACAGGCCTGCAATGGGGATGGTGGGGATACCTCGTGCATGGATTTAAGACATTCACAAGCGTCAGATGCAGGGGAAATGTGCTTAGTTTAGCATTTACACATCTGACACATTAATGACACATCACTCAGCAAGACTTCAAGGGTGACTAGCTCCAAAATTCTTTATTTAGTAAAATTGTAACATTTGATGGCAGTGGAATACACAAACTCAAGTGTACTACAAACAAGACGGACAGAACCTCACAGGTCTGAGCAGTGCTGCAGGACGCACCTGCCTCTCCTCTCCTGGTGGAAATGGCAAGTTCAAGCTTTTATTTAGCCCAGGGCTGCCTGGGACACTAGTGCCCAGCACCATTCCTGCCACCTCTGCCCCCAGAACCCGCACAAGGCTGGTGAAGGCTGGGTGCAGGAAGCCGGGAGAGTGCTGGGAGCTCCACAAGGTTCCTCCTCCTGCCTGTAGCTCTCTTCCTCCACCCACCCAGAGCTGCAGGGTCCGTTGAGTTTCTTCCTCAAGAAACGGGGTTGGGGCCTGACTGGGCTGGTCACCAGGGGCTGCCCTGCAAGCCATCCATGGGAGGAGAAAGGGTGGACCCGGAGGACTTCCAGGGCCCTACCCCAGCACATCTGAACCTCTGGGAGGAGGGAGGAGCTCCTGGGAGGGCCGGGCCCACCCCGGCAGGACTCTGGCTGGCGTTGGTCACCAAGGCCTCCAGACACTCTGTGCTATCTGGGCTGCAGTCAGGCTGCCCAGGGCTGCGGGCACCAAGTCGGGCCCCTCAGCAGGTGCCCGACTCAGTTCAGCCTCAGGGGCCTCCTCCAGGTCGGAGCACAGGTCGTCCCCGGGACCTGGGGGGCTGGGTACTGGGGATCCTGGAGCCCCTCCCGCAGGCCAGCCACTCCGCCCAGGGGCTCCAGGTACGCCCGCCAGGGCGTCCCCCAGCAGATCCTGGAAGCTGCTGCCCTCGCGCAGCGGCATGGACTCAAGCAGGTGGTTCAGGAGCTCGGCAGCGACCGTAGCGTCGATGGCCTGGCACGTGGACACGAACGTGTGCACCTCGTGCATGCACTGGATGTAACCGGCGGCGAAGCGCTCGCTAGCTTCCGCCTGCAGCTGCTCGCGCTCTGGGCCCGAGGGTGGGAGGGAAGAGAGCCGCGTCCCGCGCGGTGAGCGGCGACTGCGTGGCCCAGCCCACCCGGCCCGCAGGGACGCGGCTCACCCAGGAGACTCGAGGGCGCACCCTGCTCCGGGGGGAGCCCTCGCCGCCAACAGGACAGGGGCGCCGGGAGAGAAAGTTCTCCGTCCGGCGGGGCTGGCAGGCGCCCGCGGCCCGCGCCCCTGCCCGCCCCGCCGCCACTCACCGCGCGCCCGGCCCCGCAGCGCGCCCTGGACCCGCCGCACCGTCAGCTCGAGCACCTCGGCGTTCTCCAGCTTGGCCTGCACCTGCGCGGGCGGGAAAGGCGGTGAACCGGCGGCGCGCTCCGGGACCCGCCCGCCCGCCCCGCAGCCCCGGGGCGCCCGCCCGGCCGCCGCACCTCGGCGCCCGCCAGCAGCAGCCGCAGCTCCTGCAGGCTCTCGTTGATCCGCGCGCGCCGCTTCTTCTCCACCAGGGGCTTCCGGGCCTGCGGAGAAGCCGGGCACTGAGTCCCGGCCCCGCACGACCTCCCGCCCGCCCGCTCGCCCACGGCCCCGGCCCGCACCTTGCGGTCTCCCCGCGTCTCCCACCAGTCCTCATCCTCACGGCTCGCGCGGTCCGGGCCAGGCGCCGACGGTGGCGCCATGCCCGCTCCGCTGGGGGCGCGGCAGGGACGGGGAGCGAGGAGACAGCAGCGCCGGCGCCCTCCACTGCCCCGCGGCCGCGCAGCAGCAGCCCGGCCGCCCGCGCTCTTCGCGGCTTCCGGCCCGCTGCGGCCCCGCCCCTTTTATAGCCGCTCATTTGCATCTCAATGCGCCGATTGGCCGAGCTGGCCCAGGGCCGCCGACCGCGAGGCGCACTGCAGCCAATCGGGGCTGCGCGCTTTGTCCGGCCCCGCGGCCCTGGGGGGCGGGAGGGCAGCTGGCTGGGCGAGGCGGGGCCCCCAGCCCGGCCTCCCCGAGACCCCCGCGGGGGCGGCACCGGGGCGGCGACCCCTGGGAGCTGCGGGCCTGCCTGCGCTTGTTTCTCTCCGTCTGCTGCGTTAGGACCACTGATCTGCCGCGCGTGCGAGCAGGTGCTCTCCCGTCCGTCCGTCCCTCGGTCCATTCATTCATTCACCCATTCATGCATTCATTTCCCTCCGTCACCGATGGCGCCTCCAGAACGGAGCGCTCGGGCCACAGGCCCCGGGAGCTGGGTCCCTGGGGTGCAGAGCCACAGTCAAGTCCGCGGTCTCCGGACCTAGAGGGGTTTCAGGTCCCGGCTGGGGTGGCTGCCGAGCCCGGGGCAGGCAGGGTCCATTGGGCAGCGGTGGCGGGCGGCCCTTGCGTTTCTTCTAGACTCGTCCAGACACCGAGCCGGACCCCCGACGCCGCCCTCCGCCAGCAGAGGAGACCTGGTGGGGAGGGGTCCGTGGTGCTCCCGCCCGCGCCGCTCTCCCCCGCTCACCGGGCTCTCCTCCCCGTCACACCCCCGTCCCCCCCGAGCTCCCTCGTGTCCCCCAGTCCCCTTCGGCCCCGCGGACCCCTTTAACCTCCCTTTCCCCTGCCCCCTGCCGCCTCCCTCCTCCCCTCCCCGTCCTCCTCGCGCCCCGTCCCCTCGTCCTCCCCACCCCCGCCAGGCCCGCCGAGGCTGCCGTCTGGCCCCAGTAACTTGATGCCCGTGACAGTTGGCAGCTGCGGCCGCTTCGGCGGAGAAAAGCGGCGGCCGCGCCAAGAGCGACAGGTGTTGGCCGCGCCTTTGTCTCGCGCGCTTTGTCCCGCGGGCAGGCGGCGGGCGCGCTTGTGCCGGCCAGACGCCCGGGACCACCCCCCCAACCCCCGTGGCGGCGGGCAGCCCATCTGCCGGCTCCGCCTGTCGGCCGGCGGGCTGCATGGGCGGTGGGGCCGCGCCCTCGGGCAGCGCCCTGGGGACCCCAGCCCGGCTCCCGCCCCGCCGGCATCAGTCAAGACCCTGCGTGGAGGAGCCGCAACGCGGAGACGCCTTCTCCGGCCCCGGCCCGCCAGGCACCAGCCTGCCCCGCACAGCATCTGCCGTCCTTAGTCCCCACTATTCACCCGGGCTGGGATCGTCAGGGTCTGTTCCGAGCCCCTCCAGGCTGTAAGCGTCCCTGGACAAGAGGCATGGTCGGACCTAGGACCTGCTGTCCACCTCCCTGCACCCCCAGCAGAGCCTGGCCTCACAGAGGGCTGATAGGTAGGGTAGGTGAGGGGTGTCCCTGGCAGGATGGACTGGAAGGCCTCGTGGGAGGGGAACATCCGGGACCGCAGCAGCTGAGCAGAGCGGCAGGACTAGGCTGCACCCAACACCCCATGACCCTGGAGAGGTCTGACAGGCCTCCTATGGCTCCTTTACTTCTGGCTCCCCACCAGAGAAACTCCTGCAGCCTTCCTGCGGGTGAGTTTGGCGAGAGGTTTGAAGGTTCCCAAAGTCACCTCACTGACCTCTGTAATTACCTGGGAGCCCCTCCCGCCTACTCCCAGCTGTCCCTGATCTGCCTCTTGGTTGCTTTGTGAGCAGGGTCCTGAGATTTCCTCCAGCCCAGCAGCACTCACCTGGGTGTGAAACTACCCCTATACGTCACACACTCCCCACCTGCCCAGTAGTGGGGCTGACAAGATGGGGCTGGAGTGGTGGATCCCAAGGAAGTGGATAATCGGCCTGTGACTTTACTCTCCTTCACCACTTAGACATTACCCTAGGGAAGAATCCCCCTCCCCCAGTTGACTACAGTGACATTTCCACTACTTTGAGAAACTGATAGAGAGAATTAAACTCACTGATATTTCTTGTACTCCTAAGTTTGCAAACTGAGTTACATTCCTTTCATTATCCAAACAAACAAGGTCAATGCTTTGTATTAAGCAATTTATATTGCACCAGGATGATCAGGGCCCTGAAGGAGGACTCTGGGTAAAAACTGACTGAACACCCGATTGGATGGGGAACTGTATTTGAGGGGCAAGGAGGACATGCCAAAGGCAAATGGTGCAAGCAAAAAATGAAAGGCAACTACGAACTCTGGGAAAAACAAAAGGCTGCCAAGAAAAGAAATGTAATCTTAACACATCACTTGGCTCAGAGGCAACAGTTTTCAAATTCACAACAATGTAACACTGTTCATAGGGTTTTAACATTTATAATTAATCTGTACAGAAGGCAAGGAAGGACTGTTTATGGTTATGGGACACAGGTGATAGCAGTTATGAGAGGAGGCTAAAGGGAGGACCAGGGGCCTCGAAAGCCTTGTCTGACACCGTGGAGTGTGTGGAGCCTGAGGAATGCTGTCTAGCGTTGAGGGAAGGAGATATTAAGCACTGGGCTATGCCTCAGTGTGACCAAAGACCCTTCAAGGAAAAGAGCTTAAGTAGAGAAGGCTGTACATCAGCGAAATCCTTCTTGGTTGGACTGGAAGTTGCCCCAGGTCCCCTTTGCAAAGTCAGCTTCAATTTCCTGTAGTGGTGCCCTAGCCAGCTGGCATGGCCTTTTTGTCCCAGAAACCTGGCCTATCTTGGGGGTCACCAAGCCCGCCCTCCCTCCTTCACAGCAGCCTCCCCTAGCCAACACTTCCTGCCATTTGTCCCTTGGGCCAATCCTGCCTTCAGAGTTTGCCTGAGTACAGACTTCCTGAGCATTTGGGCCCTTTGATCCCCCTGTAGCCAGGAACAGAGGCCAGCAGTGGCTGGGCAGGGCAGTGGTTGCTGCGGGGGGACTGGTTAGCAGCGGGGGTGGCAGGCCATAAATCCCTGGGGGAACAAAGGCAGCTTCGGCCTGTAGACTGTTCAGGCCCCTTGTGGGCAATCTGCCCAGGAGACTCAGAGAATCTCCTTTTGGTTTGGAAATAAAAGACAGGGAGTGCCCTTGAGGTTATATGGTAAATAAAGATAAAATTAAGATCTCCCAAAAGCACTCAGAAGTTCCGTGAAACAACCGTATCTGCCCATTTAGGGCAGTTTGCAGGGGCCTCAGTGCTCGATAGGAGGGCTTTGCCTTTTAGCCCATCAGCACTTGGATTTAGGCAGCCAGACAAGCAGGCAGAGGAGAGCCTCCTCCCTCCTGCTCAGGAAGCTTCTCGGAGGCTGGGCATTGGGTTCAGGATCCATTCAGCTCTGTGCTCTAACCCCCAGGGTCATGGTTTGAAAAGTGAGGGGCAGGGAGCAGCTCTTCCGGCCTCTAGTTCTGGCCTCACAAGGCTTCATTCATCACTGTGAAAGAAGGGCTGGGGTGGTGACTGTGCTGCCCTGCCTGTATCATTCGCAGTGGGGACATGTGACCTTTCTGGTGGAGCCTCCAGACCTCCCCACCTTTAGCCCTAGCCCGATGACCAGGTAACCTGGGGCAGGGATGCAGGGAAGAGAGAGGTGCCTGGGGGCAGAGCTGGGGACACTCTGGGAGCTGAGTCAGACAGCTGCGCCCCTCCATTTGAAAGTGAAAAGACCGTGGGCATGACTTGATTAGGTCCGCATTACACAAAGTTCACTCTTGCAGCCTGAAGGAGGGTGCATGTGACACACACACAGAAAGAAAGGGAACGAGCAAGAAGCAAATGGTACCAGGGCACTGCCCACGAGGAGGCCTTTGGGATGTAAATTCTTCAATGCAGAATTTCTGGAGTTTCTGTAAAAAAATTTTTTTATAATCTTTGATCTCCATTCAAGTTTTGCTCTGTGTTATGTGAAAAATACATACAAGTAAAAATAAAAATATACTTGCTTTATTTACCAATTTTCTAAAAGGCAAATAGGTCATAAAAAGACACAAGCAGTCAAACAAATCTATTGCACTGGGTAAAGAAAATTTGGTTTGCACACGAACAAACCACTTGTCCGGCAAGGCTCAACAAACCATCACACAAACTCTGAGAGCTTATTTACATATCTTTTTAGGAATATATTAAAAAGAAGGCTCAGTTTAAAATAGAGAAAAAGTGTTTAACACCTGTGTAAGCACACACACTAAAGAAAACGTGACTTGATGCTTGGCGCCATGTAAACAAATTCACAAGATGATTCTATTAAGTCAACCGCTTGGCACGCGCTGAAGCTACACAGTTAACAATCAATGAGCATATATTAAATAATAAAATAATGCTGATGGTAAACATTCATAACAGCAGAGTAAGATTTTGGCAGTTTTGTGTTTAGGTAACATAAATGTAACCTTAGATTAACACCTATCCCCCATGATCTGACTTTAGAGGCAAGAAAGAGTCTGTAACATCTAATTGCCGTAAGAATTCGGACTGCTACCTTATCTTAGGCATAGGCAGGTGATGTTACTTTGTAAATTAAAGAAAAATTAAAGTGTTCTTGTGTTTATGAAAAATAGGTTTAATAGTCAGGCATAAGATGGTTTTACTAAGAAAACCTAGTGGATTACAAAGAGATTTCACCTCCATCAAAAAAAACAAAGAAAACCCTGGTCCTGGCCAGGCGCAGTGGCTCACGCCTGTAATCCCAGCACTTTGGGAGGCCGAGGTGAGTGGGTCACCTGAGGTCAGGAGTTCGAGACCAGCCTGCCCCACATGGCAAAACCCCATCTCTACTAAAAATACAAAAAATTAGCCAGGCATGTTGGTAGGTGCCTGTAATCCCAGCTACTAGGGAGGCTGAGGCAGGAGAATTGCTTGAACCCGGGAGGTGGAGGTTGCAGTGAGCCACTGCACTCCAGCCTGGGCAACAAGAGTGAAACTCTGTCCCCCACAAAAAAAAGAAAACCCTGGTCCCATTTAAGCCTCACAGTCT